TGTGATCAATTTTTTAAGTTAAACTATTATGCTGACAGCGGATATTACAAGACATGCATCCTTATCATTGCATTGGTACCCAGTGTGATGCAACAATTATTCTAACAGCAAAGGTTTGCATATTTTGATATTCATGTATTTCTTAAGTCATTAAATAGTATTTTTTGAGAACAGCAAGACCTCTGTCTGAGTGACCCTAGTGATCACTGTGTGATTTGGATGAATGAGGAGTGAGGGTGTCATTAAGATGATGCGTGATTGAAACAGCTTTAACACTGTAGCTCTGAAATGAATTTTTTGGGAAAGGAAATGGTAAGACAGTTCAACATCAGACTTACAAACCCCTTGTTCTCTGTAGAGTCATCTGGAAGAGTAAGTGTTGTGATACACAGTGAGAAAGAAGCACTCAGCAGCACTCACATCCTCCCTCACCTGCTCCCCCACTCCATTCTTCCTCCAGCCTGGCTTTTCATGAATGAAGCTGAGTGGGAGCTCCTCATTGGCTGAGAGGTCAACCAATCAGGAAGATATGTGGGTTGAGACCTTGGGCCATTCACAAAAGTTTCTGCTTACATTCTCTCTTCAATGTATAGGGAGAAAAATATTTTTTTTATTTGGACAATAGTTGATTATTAATCAAACAGGTTTTACATATTTGGTACATTTCCTCCACATTTGTATCAGAAGAACAGCTTATTTCCCAGGACTACAGTAGAGATAGTTGGAGAAAAAAAGTCCTAAAAAGATTTTTAAAATGTGGCAATTTTCTAATCATAAAAATACTCAATTAAAAAAAAAGAAACGAATTGAATCATATGCATGAAACACTTAATACTATTTTATGTCCAGAAGAGGATGTCAGTCTTGTCATGTCAGAGAGAAAAAAGTCAGTTTGTGGCCAGCATGAGGCATAGTGAGCCACATTAGTCATCTCATTGGTTTGACAACAAACATGTAACTTGACAATTTAATTCAGTTAAATGTAATATAATTTAGTTTATCAGTGAGAATGCATTCAATGCATTCCCCCTGCTAGTGTTTCATTTTCCCTTTATTATTATCCAATGTTCCGTACGTTTTACTGCGCTTAACTACTTCTATCTTTCACTAATTGTACTAATTCATATATCAAAACGTTCAGCTTCTTCTGGAGATTTATGCTATGACTTTTGGTAAACTTCACTATTGCACTTTTTGAAATAATTGCCCTTTTGTGCAAATTTATTGCCCCATTGAAATACATGGTGGAATTCACTAACTGACGTCAGTTGCTAGAGTGTACACTCTAGTAACTGCCGTTTTTGAACTTTTTTCTGCTTTTTGACAAACAAAATGATGCTGTTCATACATATTTCACTGTAGAGAAATAATTTATGCATTAAAATGTAGCTACGTGTGTCTACTTTATGGAATTATTACTATTATTGGTACAGGTCTTACTGTTTTCTGTCAAACTCTTCTGGAGTACAACCATGTCACACTTTCTCCTATTCTTTCAATGTATTTTTCTCTTGTGCTCTGTTTTAATCTCTTTCTATTACATCCTGCTTGTCTACTTTTCTGTATGCCTTTTACTTCTACTGGTTTTCCTATCTTTTAAGGTCTTCTGCAATCTTTAATCAATTTTAGCAATTCATATATCAAACTGTTCTGCCTCTTCTGCTCCTTTATGCTTATAGTTTTGCCATCTTTCACTGCTTCAAATATTTCTGGTTTTTCCTGCTTCTGCTAACTTATGCTTCTTGCTGTTTGCTGTTTCACTGTTTAATTGTTTCAACTATTTCTGGTTTTGTACTGATTTCCGCTTCTGCTAATTTATGCTGTTTGCTACGTTTCACTGCTCAACTGTTTCAACTATTTCTATTTCTTCTCCTTTCTTCTACTACTTGTGCTTTTCTCTACTTTTTCTTGCATTTCTGCAGCAGTCATTCTGCAAATATACATTCTCACGGCTGTTTCGCTAACCCTATTACGTGCGGTGAGCTTGATAGCTTGTGAGGCACCAAATAAAATTATAATCGGATTAACAAATCTAGACCCTGCATGTCATTGTTGACATAAGGAAATTTCACGCATGTGTACAATCCTGGAGGGCAAAAAGACTGTTCTTTAACATGTGATGCTTAGCCGCGCCGCTGCCGCAGAATAATTCTGTTATCTCAATGAAACTTAGAAATGTAGATATTACTAATTTTGTGCTGTGCTTAAAAGCAATGGGAGAAACCGTTAAAGTACAACTCAAAACCACGTCTTTCTCGCTCTCTGTATCAGCGCAGCTACTGTATG